ACCGTGGGCCCCGAAGTGGCGCTCCATCTAAACTGGGTTTAGAGGGTCCTCTGCCTTCTGTCCGATGAGGAGCTGATGGGGCTCGACTGCCCTGGAAGCTGCGCTGGGGAGGCTGAGTAGAGGGCCGGCCGGATGGTTTAGGTGCTGAAAGAGGAGCAAGGGGTTGACCTGACTGAACGGTAACAGACTGAGGGGCGTTGCGGTGGCCAGGTGGAGGGCCCTGCCAAGATGAACGCACAGATTTATCACCTTCACGATAGCGCCTGGGCTCTCGACTGGGTGAACCGGCATGTCTAGAATGAAACAATGAGATATTATAAGACAGCTAGTCAGTTGCTTATAGGCTAATGCAAATACAGTGCTCAGCATAACTGAGGACACACATTTTGAAAAAAAATTTATTCATTTCTAGGCAAGATCTAGGCAAGGTATGTATGTTTGGTGCATTTACACAAAACAGATTTATTAAATAGATATATTAAAATAATATTTTAGTCACCAAACATATTTAGAGATCATAACATAACTGGTCAAGTGGCAGGAGGGGTTCTGACCCCAATACTTCTTTTGACCACATCATGCTGACCCCAGGACTGCATTTGCATGCTTCGTTTTGGCTGTCTCTACATATGTCTGTAAAAATGTATGTAAAACTGAGTGCTTGGCTGCACTAGTAGAGATCTTTCGATGAACGCCAAAGCGACGCAGAGTTCTTATTAAAGGATTTTGCTTTGATGATGCCAGAAAGTCTCCCTTGGTATTGTCTCTTTGAATTCACAACAGTTTTTGGTTCCGTGACCCGAATTAGTAGAGATCTTTCCATGAATGCCACATCAACAGCAAGTTCTTATTAAAGGATTCTGCTTTGAAGATTCCCGAAAGTTTCCCTGGTTTGGTCTCTTCTTTGAATTGACAACAATCCTTTACCATCTCTTCTGATAATTTTTAGTAGCATTTCAACTGACCATTTAGAAACTGATTGGACCCCTTTCACATAGAGTCTGTGTAATCAGGAAGTGAGAAATGACAAACAAACATTAAAAGCACAACAATTAAAATTGACATATCACCAGTACCACTTATACACATGAAATGACCATGAGCTCACCTGGGTTTTCGGGAGCGATATGAACGTCCGTCACTTGGCCCTGTGCCATTGCGGATGTCATAGCCGTAAAAAGCAATCAGCTCATCACGAGATTTCGGTGCCTGCTCCTCTTCACGGAACTTGTCATGTTCCCATCGACCTTCGTCCTTCCACAACTTCCTGTTTCTGCCTTTAGGCCTGAAGACAGATGGACAAACAGAGTGGAGGCACCAAAGTGAGAATTGTGCAGCACAGAACTGATTCAATACTTGAAACTTATCTTCAAATTCTGTATATTTATTAATTATATGAATGTATGTCTGAAAGAAACCCTCCTCACCTCTCCTCCTCAGTTGCCTGGCCTCTCACGTCATGCTCAAAGAAAAGGCCTTTTCGAGGGATGTATGCTGGATTTTTTCTGTCCTCATCATCATCCAGCTTCTGGCCTTTACTGCCTTTATTTTCAGGATCCTCTGTGCTTTCCTGTAAACATTTGAGTCTTAACTTGAGTTCTGCCCTGAAAATTATTTGCAATCAATAGCACTACTGACAGAGTGATTTAACAGTCTCGGTGCAGACTGTGGCATCACAGCCAAACACTTTAAATCTGTCAGAGGACTGTTTTAATTATTTGCCAAAATGTTCCTGTTAAAATACTTGCTAAGGGTTTAAATGTGATTCCATCCTAAGGGGTGAGAGTGTGAAAACCGGGATTTTGCCAATAAGCAACTGCACACAGTTTTTGTGCTGATATTTTAACCGCTTTGGTCTGTCATGGATAAATAAATGACATTTAGGCCAGTTTCACATCATGAGCAGTGTATTCTTCCCAGTATTCATGTTGTCAGATTAGTGCATTTACACTGGGAGCAGCAGCAGCACTTGGGTGTCAAGCAGAAGTGTCACTGAGGTAATGGTCTAGTTTAAAGTCTATATAGGCTACAGAAGATAACTAGGTTTTTTAAAATTCAGTTTGGATTCAAGTATAGTTAGGGTTTCTGTAGGTTTTACCAAGTTAAACTTAAGACTTTAAGGCATTTTAAGACCAATATGAATGAAATTTTAGACTTACACAGGGCTAAATGCTAAAAAGTTTTATTTGAATATCCCAATTGGAAAAGATGTTCGCTTGCCCTATCAAAAAAATTATTATTATAACTTAATAATACAATAATAACGATAAAAATATGGGTCAGGTCAGTATCCTTATTAGTAAATAAATGGAGAATGTTTAAACATGTTGCTGTAAGGAAAGTAGTTTAGTGTAATTTTTAAATAAAAAGTTAAGTTTAATTGAGATTGAGCTTGTTGGTGATTATATGAGTGTTAATGGCCAGATCATTAAGAAGCTGTTAAAAAAAGACTTAAGACCTACAACAATATTTCAGAAAATTTAAGCCTCTATAACGCCTAAAATGTATATTTTAAGAAAAGACATTTTAAGATTTTGAGAGATTTTAAGACTTTAAGATTCTGCGGATACCCTGATAGTGCATTTAAAAAAGCCCAAATATGAGACATACACTGCAATTTGGTCATCTGAAACAAATTTGGGAAATCCTAAAAGGTTCCTGAAATCCTAGGCTAAAATTCGTTATCTAATATATTGTTGTATACAATAATATTATTATTATGGATGACATCAAACTCCGGGTGAGTTTTCTTCAGTGTTTGGCATGTCTTTGTTTTTCAGTCTGACATTATGACAGCAGAGATCTTAAAACTGATTTATACTTTGTGTTCGCTAGTTCGCTTGAGTGCATGCGGCGAATGTGACGTCATCGCATAGTTTGTGGAAGTTCGCTTTGGGTGCACCGACATGATTTTGTCTGGCAGAGTGCATGAAACTAGAGATTCAAGCGAACAGTTTGTGAGGCACTGCGTTTCGATTGAGTAAATATTAAAAACTTTGAAAAGATCTAGTCTAAAACAGGTACGACATCTATATGATCCATCCATGCATGCATGATAACAGGGATAATGATGAGTAATAATTCTTGGCTAGAAATTGCAACAGCCGTGGGAAAAAAAAAAAAAAAAAGTTATGTTTTTGTTAAAAAGTTTAGAAAAACTCTAGTGGTACTCACTGCAGAGCCACTTAGGCAGAGCTCAGCTTCAGCTCCTCCTTCCTTGCACATATTCTACAAAATGATGTCACTGGGGGTTGGGGTTAGGGGTGGGGTGGCCATACGCATTAAAGCAGATTACAGGAAAAAAACTTGAGTGATAAGTTTGTTAAAAATAAAAAAATAAACCATTCATAGGTCATACACTGATGTACATTTTACAATTTTGAACTTAAAATGATTTATTAGTTACAAAACTAAAATGAAGTCAATTATTTGTTTGATAACGGGAAAGGAATTTGTAGAGCTATCGGTTTAAAATATACTGATGCCGTGTTTTTCTCAGCTTTATTGATAATAATGGTCCGGAATGTTGGACCATTATTGCTTTGACACAGAGGACACAAACTAGTCAGACAGTAATGTGTGTATTGTAGAGCGGGCAAATTCTTAAAAAAATAATAAAATTATGGCTTTTATTCCTGCCATAATAAAAAACATATATTTGTAGAGCAACCCATGTTCTGTTGTCACTGATATTGAACTTTAATAGGCAGAACTGTCTGAGATATGAACAAAAGCAAGATATGTAATAAAGTTAGATTAAAAAAAATTTAATTTGTTTTAAAAATCTTTATAATCATTATGATAAATTATTTATTTTAAAAAAATAGTTTAAAAAATCTTGACTGATATTAATGAAATGACGTAGTTCCAGAAACTTCCCACATCTGTTAATTTGTCTGATTTTACAGTTGTTGTTTTTTTTTAACCATCCCCTGTCATTTTAAAGAATATCACTACGGTGAACAAGTCAAGTATAAAAGCCTCGTCTGTTACGCGAGGTGCCAAGACAGTCAGCGGAGGTCTGCGATGCGGAGTCGGCGAAAGTATAAATTGGGCTTTACAGTGTGACTTAAAAAAAATTTAAATAAAATAAAAACAGACACACACAAAGTATGAGAAAGTATTTCAGAAAGTAACACAAAAATTATTAAAGAATATGGGTGTCAAAATTAATTGTTTCTTCTGTGCAGTGTGATGCAGACACGGACAATTTGGTATCGGTTCAGTAATAATCATAACCGGTTATTAAGCAGTGACATTAACGTCATATGTGCTATGACGCCGTAGCTTACTGTGACGAGGGAGGGGAGCGCGAGTATTTACAATGCTCCAGCTACTTAAAAACAGAAAAACTGTGTGTTTGCTGGACAGTCTTTCTCTGACAATTACAGCAGAAACCCCTATTTCACTGCGATTGAGAGAAAGTACTCCATCTCTGTCTCTCTCACTGTGGCCCATTTGACCTGTTGGCATCACTTTTCCTCTCCTCTCAGCTGTTACAGCGATACTTCTGGATACAGACACGAGCGCATGTCTGCAGAGTTTTCTCCCTAACATCTATCATGGATCGCCGCTGCCGTTTATCTGTGTTTAAACCAGGCTTTACTTCTCTGTGAACAACGCCAGCCCGTAGAGCCAATCGCAGCCCTTTGAGTTGAGCGCGTGACCAAGAACTCAAAGCGAGCGGGATATTTATGTGTTTATTTGCTATAAATGCTCGTGTTGTTTATAGGCACAGTTTATATATCTGACTGTTTGTATTAAAGGACAAAATTGTATTAAAAATGGTATATAAATATTGACACATTTTAATACAAGAGTTGCTGTACTGTGAAGAAAATATAAAACTGTATAGAAAAGCATTGACAATGCACCGTGATATCGAATTAAACCGAATCGATGGTATAGTGGCACACCTTTCGTGCAAATCCTTATGTACCACCTTTTGCAGCTTCAATTCCAACAACCAGTATTTGCAAAAACGCGAGTAAGACCGAATCTTCTTTTAAAAAAGGTTTACTGAACAAATGCAAACAAAAATTACAAAGTTACAATAGACTCGATCAGCTCGGTCAAAAAACTGTGTTGCTTCCAACATCCATAACTGCAATCTGCCTTAAACGTATGAACTAATGACCTCATGACGTATTACTGTCGGAAGCCAAAATACCAAATTAAAGGTTTTTAAATTATATCAATTACTAAATTATGCATTTTAGATAATACAATCACAATGAATTCTTATTAAATTTAAATATCAATTTTTATCATGTTTTAACCTTCACTAAATTATTATCACAAATGAATTATGCATAACTGGCTCTTACATTACCCGGCCCCTAATTGTTAGGCAGGAGGACTAATCAATTACAACTAAAAACATTAAGAGCCAAACAACTTAAACTTCAAATGTGTGTAAAGATCAACTTGTCTTTCTTTGTTACTTGTCCAACGTTGCCTCTTTCAACAGGCACAGTTTATTTACGGGTCTTTCCAAAGTGCTGGTTCTGGTCTTCAATTTCACTCTCCGCACCATTCCAGTGGAATCTGGCAGTGTTTCAACTATTTTCCCCATTACCCAAGAGTTGCGGGGAGATGAACTGTCCACCAATAGCACCACATCTCCAATCATGAAGTTTCTGCTGGATTTCATCCATTTCTGACGCTCCTGAAGAAGTGGAAGATATTCTCGCGTCCATCTAGTCCAGAATAAATCGGCAAGATACTGAACTTGCTTCCATCTTCTTCTTGCATATATGTCATCTTTGCAGAAGATGCCTGGGGCCATGATTGGTTGAGATTTCAGAAGCAGTAAGTGATTGGGAGTTAAAGGCTCAACGTCGTTTGCATCATCTGAGACACTTGTGAGAGGCCTGCCATTGATGATACTTTCAACTTCACACATTATCGTCTGAAGACAGTCATCATTAACTGTTTGCTCCTTCAACAGGGAATTAAGAATTCTTCGAGCCGTCCGGATTTGTCTTTCCCAAATACCGCCTTGGTGAGAAGCAGCTGGGCTATTGAATATCCATTTTATTCCTTTGGGCTGCAAAGCTCTTTCGATCTTATAATTGTCCAGCTGTTGAATAGCTTCCCTTAATTCTCTTTCAGCTGCCACAAAGTTTGTACCATTGTCAGATCTCATGATGGTGACTTGACCTCTCCTACATATAAAACGGCGAATTGCGTTGATGCAGGAGTCCGTGTCGAGGCTGTCAGCTACTTCAATGTGCACAGCTCTGAGCGTTAGACAAGTGAACATTACCCCATATCTTTTAAGGGTAACCCGGCCCCGTTTAACCTCAAACGGACCGAAGAAATCAACACCGGTGTTGGTAAAAGGAGGTTGGTGTGGGAGGAGCCGATCTTCAGGTAGGTTTGCCATCTTTTGCTCACCAACCTTTCCAGACATCCTACGGCATACTGTGCATGTGTTGATTATCTTTCTGATAGCAGAATTGGCTTGTGGAATCCAATATCTGCATCTTAGTTGTGCCAACACATAGTTACGTCCACAATGTCCTGTTCTTTGATGTATGTCCCTCAAGATCAAAGTTGCAACTTTGCTGTGTTTAGAAAGAATCGCAGGATGTTTAGCCTTTTCCGGCATAGCTGATTTGTTCAGTCTTCCACCAACCCTTAACGTGCCGTCGTAAATCACTGGATCTAATTTAGACAGTGCACTACTGCGAGTGAGTTGCTTTCCCTCCTGTAGTACCTTGATTTCCTCTCCAAAATGCTGTCTTTGACTGAACTGTATGATTTCTAATTCAGCAGTGTCCAGATCATCCAAGGTAAGTGATTCTTTTACTTCAGCAGGTTTTAGTTTCTTCATAAGTTGCTTTAATTTTGATCTTTGCTTTTCAGGGTCTTTTACAGCTTGCTTGTTTTTTAAAGCCTCTTTTCTTTCTGTTTTTTGTTTCCACAGATAACTCTTTACTTTTCCTATCCAAGCCACTGCTCGTTTAAGCTTACTCCAATCCGAATAATAGTTGATCAGCTGTTTCATTGGTTCTACATTCTCTTCTACTTTAACTGTGTTAACAACAATTGTATTTTTGACCTCTGGGTCATTGGCAAGGCTTTCATTCCTTCTCACAGGTTGTTCCGGCCAATCCTCTTCATGCAACAGAAAGTCTGGTCCACTTATCCATGTTCCCCCTTGCGCTAAGCTTTTCGCTTTCAGGCCTCTGCTGGCTTGATCTGCAGGGTTTTCATTTGTTCCGACATATTTCCATTGCGATGACTTGGTTGCTTCTCGGATCAAGGAAACTCTGTTTGCAACAAACGTTTTGAAATGAGCAGTTTCACTGTCGATGTATCTGAGCACCGTAGTGCTGTCTGTCCAAAAGACAGATTGTTGCAATGGAACCTGAATCTCTTGATGCAACATCTTGTCAACTTTCAAAGCGACAACCGCTGCTGTCAACTCAAGTCTTGGGATTGTGACTCTTTTGAGTGGAGCCACTCTTGACTTCCCCAAAAGGAAAGTGCAGTGTTTCTCACCCCGTTCATTCTCCAACAGTAGGTAAGACACAATGCCGTATGCATATTCTGATGCGTCTGAAAAATGATGTAATTGCGCTGTAATAGTGCATCCAAACTTGGTGGGTTTAATGCATCTTCTCACGTGAAAGTTGGAAAGGTGAGTAACATCTTTCATCCATCTTTCCCAATCCTCTGCGTGCTTTCCATCAATGTTTTCATCCCACCCACGCTGCTCTTTGCAAAGATCCTTTAATAGAAGTTTGGCATGCAGAATGACTGGGGCTAAAAAGCCGAGAGGGTCGTAAATGGAATTGACGATCGATAAAATCCCCCTTCTAGTCATTGGTCTATCTTGCAGCTTTATACTGAAGGTGAAAGTATCATTTTCTGTGTCCCACTGCACACCAAGTGTCCTCTCAACTGGCAAAGCATTGCGTCGTAAATCCAGATCTTTGACTTCACTGGCTCTGTGCTCCTCAGGAATTGACAGTAACACATTTCTGCTATTGCTCATCCACTTTGTTAGGGTGAACCCTCCACTGCTGCACAAAGCTCGTAGATCACTGACTAAGTTTACTGCAACGTTTTCTGTAGTTACACTTCTCAGGCAATCATCTACATAAAAATTTCGCAGTACTGTCTGAACAGCATCTGGTGATGCAGCATCCTTGTGATCCTCTGCAGTTCTTCTCAGTGCATATGAGGCTACACTTGGAGAAGAAGTAGCTCCGAAGAGGTGCACTGTCATTCTGAACTCCTCCACTGGCTCATCCAATCTACCGTTGGGCCACCATAGAAAACGGAGCAAGTCTGCATCATGTTCTGGCACTTTCACTTGATAAAACATTGACTCGATGTCTGCCATTACTGCTACAGGCTCCTCTCGAAATCTAAGAAGGACACCAATCAATGAGTTGGTCAGATCAGGCCCCTGAAGCAGCTCACTATTCAGGCATTTACCCTGATACGAGGAGGTGCAGTCAAATACCACCCTTAACTTTCTTTTCTTTGGGTGGTAGACACCATGGTGAGGTATATAAAACACCCTGTTGTCATCTCTGTTCAGTTGGTCTGTGGGAACCTGGACAGCGTAGCCCTTATTGATGATGGTTTCCATAAAACTTGTGTAGTCATTAAAGAATTCAGCATTTTTTTTCAACTTTCTGAGCAAACAAGTTAAACGCTGTTCTGCCACACAGCGGTTATTAGGCATTTGCAGGTTCTTATTCCTGAGTGGCAATCCAATGCTATAATGCCCATTCTCAAAGATTGCTGTCTTCTCTACAGACCTCAAAAATTGCTTGTCTTCTACAGACATCTCCTCCTTGTCGTCATATTTGCGCTCTGGAAAATCAGTATTGTACTGCTGAACCAGTAACTTTTCAATGTCCATCAGAGATATTCTGTTAACAGAGAAATGAGATGGTTCATTTTCTGAATCCTTCAGTTCCTTCCTTACAGGACCATTCACCACCCAACCTATAGCCGTCTTCACTGCATAAGGACCTCCATCTTGACTATTAATGATGCGCCAGGGCTCCATGGCTCTTGAACAGTTAACTCCGATAAGCAGACCTACATCAGCTTCTATTTCTGGTAAGCTGACTTCCTGAAGGTAAGACCACTCTTGAATATCTGACTGTTTGGGTATATTCTCAGCATGCACAGGTATGCTGCTATGAGTGAACACTTTGGGTAGCTCAATGAACATCGTGTCTTCGAGCCCGCACACTTCTAAGTCTGATATCACAAAACTGTTCATTAGCGTTTGTTCTCCTGATGTATCTTTGCCCATAGTGCTAAGAAGTATTCTTGTGGGTTTCCCTTTAACATTCAATTTTCTTTGTAGGTCTTCCGTGCAGAATGATGCTGTGCTTCCCGGGTCCAGAAAAGCATATGTTTCTATATGCTTATTACTATTCTTTGATTTGACTTTCACGGGTACTATTGATAGCACACATTCAGTTTCTCCGGCTCCGGTAAGACCACATGACTCTTGTGTGATGGGAACTTCCATACTTGACACTTCTTTACGCTGAGCACCATCTTTATTTTCTGATGGGACAGAACTTTCTTCCTTCACTTTGTGCAAAATGTCAGGGTGCTTTAATGCACATTCTTTGCACTCTAACTTTCGTTTGCAGAATTTACTGAGGTGTCCTGGAACCAAACATCCAAAGCATAAGCCCTTTGCTCTCAGAAATTCCACTCGTTTTTCATGTGGCTGACATTTAATTTTACTGCATGAAGCAAGAGTGTGAGACTGCTGGCAGTACAAACATGGTTTAGCAAAGGCATTTGCTGGTTTAATTATGTTAGGAGGCTTGATAGGTATTTCTTGAGGTGCTTTACTTTCAGTAGCAACACTAATCGCAAAACTGCTTCCTCGAACCTCTTTCCTTGCAGGCTGCTTTTCCCTTAGATCCAGCTTTCCAGCTGTGTTTGGGCGGCTGTCTGAGATGTTACCAAACAGAGGATCTATAGCTATCTTGGCCTGGCGGTCTATGAAACTCACCAAATCTGCAAACCTTGCTCTTCTACCTCTTCGTTCTTTAAGTTCGAAAGCTTCAACACGCCATCTTTCTTTAAGTTTGTAAGGCAGTTTGGATATCACTGTCCTCATGTTGGTAGGATTATCCATTTCTTCCAAAAATTCAATATCCTCCATAGAGTTACGACATCCAATCAAAAACATTGCGTAAGCATTTAATGCTTTCCCATCATCTGTTCTCACTTGTGGCCATTTGAGTGCCTTCTCTATGTATGCATTGGCAGTCACAAGTTCATCTCCATAATGCTTATGAAGTAACTTCTTAGCCTCGTGATAACCTTTGCTAGGTGGCATGTGAGCACAACTCCGAACGAGTTCTTGAGGCTCACCGTCTGTAAACTGCTCCAAGAAGTATAATTTATCTTGATCATTTTCTGTCTTCTGCTCAATTACATGTTCAAATGCCCTCATGAAGGATTTGTACTGGAGTGCATCACCTTTGAACACTGATATGTCTTTTGTTGGCAACTGAGAAAGCTGTTGTTGCTTTACTAGTAGCTCAGTAATTACATTCTGCCTTTGCATGATTGTCAAAATGTCATCACTTCTATTATTCTGAGTTATAAGACTTTGATGAGAGACTGGTTGTGGCTGCTGTGGTATTTGTGAGGGCTGCATTCGTGCTGGTACATGAACATTTACATTAGCTTGTGTCGGTAGCGTAATGCTTACTCTTTCCTTCTTCACATTCTCACTTGATATTTTACGCACTGATGCATAACTATTCATACCATCTTCAGACCTCTCATACTCTTTGAGCACTTTTAATTTTGCTTGGCTTTCAGCTAGCGCAGTCTCCATTTCTAATTCTTCTTTTTCAGCCTTAATTCTAGCTGTTTCCATCTCAAACTGCTGCTTAATCCTTGCCACCTCAAATTCAAGCTCTCGCTTTTTCTTCATCGCTGATGCACGTTCCAGCAGAGCAGCATGTTCTGCTTCCTGTTTAGCACGTGTAGATGATAAATATGAAGTGCTTGATGTACGACTTACATGAGATCCACATGAGTGAGCTTTGGCACCACTGCTGACCCCTATCTGAGAGATACTGTCACTTGGTAAAACAGCCTCTTGATGCTCATTTATTCCATCATGATTTTCTGACTGCTCAGTTTCTTTCTCCATAGATTCTTGCATATCTGCAACCCATGTTTTAGTTGTTTTTATGAAGTCTTTAAACATCACCATTTTTGGTTCAAACCAATCAACATGGTCAAACATTTTTTCTTCTTCAGTCCACAAACTGCCAACTTCTTTATTAAGTGTAATGAACTCATTTAGATACTGCTCAAAATCACTTTCCAACATATCCTTCACTTCTTGTACATTTTGAGTATCTCTCTTCATTGTCTCTATCTCCTTCATTTTGTCTGTTAGAGCTCGCAAAGTTTGTTTCCTTTTTGCTATGAGCCGTCGCAATCTCTCCTCTAATCCCTTCTCTGTCAGCTTACGTGATCTTCCTGACTCCACCCCATCTTCGCCTTCGCATATATTAACTTCTTCATCAGCCATCGTATTTGTTGCGGAGCTTATGCTTATGTCGCGTGCACAAAGTTTAAAGCACTTTCTTCAAATTGCTTTTCATAAAGAACTGAATGCCAACAACCTTTCTATAATCACACAATTCCACACTGACTGAATCCACTTTGTCACTCACGTGCGCTCTCTGACAGAGGGAGTGATTCAGCGCTCTCACTGACCATGCGGTTAATTCTTTCACTTTCGTTTTTCTCCGCACGTGGGAATTCCTCATTCATCCATATGCGTCTCCTCCTCACAATACTCAAAAAAATAAAAAGTACGTTCCAATACCTTTTCCAAGCTGTAATGAATTATCAGTTCGTTGATCAGTTCGTCGAGCCGTGCAATAAGGCAATCCAAGGAGATTCCATTGACATCTTCTTAGCGAGTTTTTTGACTAATATAGTGGCACACCTTTCGTGCAAATCCTTATGTACCACCTTTTGCAGCTTCAATTCCAACAACCAGTATTTGCAAAAACGCGAGTAAGACCGAATCTTCTTTTAAAAAAGGTTTACTGAACAAATGCAAACAAAAATTACAAAGTTACAATAGACTCGATCAGCTCGGTCAAAAAACTGTGTTGCTTCCAACATCCATAACTGCAATCTGCCTTAAACGTATGAACTAATGACCTCATGACGTATTACTGTCGGAAGCCAAAATACCAAATTAAAGGTTTTTAAATTATATCAATTACTAAATTATGCATTTTAGATAATACAATCACAATGAATTCTTATTAAATTTAAATATCAATTTTTATCATGTTTTAACCTTCACTAAATTATTATCACAAATGAATTATGCATAACTGGCTCTTACAGATGGCATGTTAATTGTAACCGAACCATGAGACCAGTGTAGGTTCACAGCTCTATTAAAGAATAATAAATGTAACTATCCACTTCATGTTAGCAGAACTGCAAATTTTACATTGCTCTGTGAAACGGATTTAACTGTATTGTATAATATTGTACAAACATCAAAACAGGAATCACTCTGTTTAAAGTTAATTTTGAAGAGCAAATCAACTCAATTCTAATAGACTTTCACACAGTCAATAGTTGTGATGGTGTGGTGTCAGATTCCATAACGTCAATATTATCGCATAAATATTGCACACCCTTACAACTTCCGCAAAAAACAGAAACTGAATCCTGCCAGGAATTTAGCATAGCAAAAGACTGAATGTTCTGTACTTCCTTACCTGTCCGTCTCCACTCTGTCGCTCGCCGGCAAGGTTCCCCTTCTCATCTGCTTTAACTTCCTTCACACTTTCATCTCTCTCCTCTCCTTCAACAAGCTCTTCTGTCGGAGCATCTGCAACAGGTTTGGATTCTGCAGCAGGACGTGAGGCCTCTTCTTCACTGAAATGCTCTGCCTCCTCCTCCTCCTCTCCTCCCTAAAACGATTGACAAATAACAGTGAATTCCATAAAATAAACATGAAATTTAGCTGAACAATTACATATCAGCAAATATAAGCCAGAAAAAACAACACAAAAAAGGTTTTCCCCTAAACAAAGCAGTGTCACTGTCACCACAAGTCTTTGTATTTAATAAATCAAAGGCCATGGTTTAAGCTGAGGGGAAGAGAGAAAAAAATAAAAATAAATAAATAAATTCACAAACATTTTGGATAATCTCAAAGAACATGCTTAGTCTAACAAGCAACAGTAGAAAAGGACAATTATAAATTGTACAATGGTCCTGCTGCACAATAGGGCTGCATATTACATCACAAAATGATCATTATTGCAAACGTGTGAATAATCAGAAATCAGAGTGTGAAATTTAATATATTAAGAACTTTAAGACTATTCATACATTTTTAAACTCATCGCCCCTTTAGGTTTCAACCATTAACATTGGCAACATTAACTTACAATCAGTATTTAGTAAATATACTGTAAGAAACTAATCCTGAACTAAAACATTCATATACTGAATAAAAATGCTAATCCAGCAGGTTTGCCCTTAGAAGAGCAGAAAATATTGGTGTTGCCTTGGTTACTGCAGTAAACAAAGCAGTGTGATGTCAAATCTAGCAGGATTTGATCAATTTCATAAACTACATTTATAGCATCCAACTATTCGCAGATTCAATGCTAGCACACAACTACACATTGTATAAATAAAAAATGATGCAATATTTAATACCTTGCATCTCAGCATTTAAGACTTTAATACTGTATTTACGGGTCTTAAATTTCTCTAAATTGATTTATCAACTTTGTATACTTTAAGACCCCGCAGACACCTGTCAATTACATTTATTATATGAATTGCTTGTTTATCTAAATTTGACCAATCAGATGGGGCCAAAGGTGAACCCAGAGCTGAAAATAAATGCTTATGGGGGTCAAAACAAGAAAGGAAAATGATAACTGTCAATAAAAGTTAGAATGCTTGGTGATGTTTTAAACTCCTTTATAGTGTTTTAAAGATTAAATGTTTGCACTTTAAAGTTTTTAATCTGAATTAGATCTGAAAGTATATTTTACCCATTTATTTTAATCACTCAATAAATTATTGATTTAAAAACATATGTAATAAAAATAGCACTTTTTTTAGGGAAATGTTATATCAGAACAAATATAGTTATTGCTAGTTATAATTAGGAATGGTCTGATCGATCGGCCAATAAATCCAATCTGGTCAAACCCATGAACCTATCGCAAGTGTTTGTTTATGAGTTTACACACAGAGGAAGACACACGTGCTCATCAGCAGTGCTACAACACGTGAAGAGGAAATGATGTGTGTAGGTGTGAGTGATGATCTCTGTGCTCACGTCACAGCAGCTAAAATATAATGTTTATACAGTCTATTGGTGCAAGTGATGGTCTCTTTGTTGCAAGTGCAACCAATGTATGTCCAGTTTTGATCTAGTGTCTCATCCAACTGTATGGCATCTCCCAGAATCTCTGCGATTCTCCCACATATTCATATTGGCGACGTGATGCCTGCGAATGAGATATACCCTGCAACTCCCTGAATACCCTGCAAATCATGGCAAACCACGCACCCACCCAAGCCATAGACTTTTCTCTCTGCTACCCTCAGGCAGACGGTCCCGCAGCATCCTGTCACGCACTAGCCGACTGAAGAAAAGTTTCTTCCCTCAGACTATCAGGCTGATGAACACTTAACACACCTCACACAAACTCTTCCACACCGCTCACTGCACACCATCAATATGTAGCATGCACTGCACTTTTACCAACCCTTACTTAAAACAATACTGACTACAACTTTGTGTACAGCTATTCATTGTACATATTGCTGTCAATTTTACATTGTCATGTTTTTTGGGGAGTATGCTCTTGTTGTATGTTGCACTGTCGTTGTAATTGCACTCTGTATTTTGCAATGGCTAGAGCCAGCACCTAAGCTTTTCACTCATCATAGCACACGCGCGGCTGATGATGTGACAATAAAAGTGATTTGATTTGAACAAAAGTGAATGAGCAACGAACACTGTGAGAGGCACAGTGATGTTCCAAGCATTATATTTGTTAGGTTAAATGAACAGTGCAGTAAACTAAATCCCTGCTCTCTTATGGAGCTGCTGTGAGACTGTCCGGAGCTGCGATCATTGAGCAGCTATCAAAAGTTGGAGATGAGCAAAATATTTGAATGGTCTTGCATGCATTTATGCAGTTTTAAATACAAGAACCGTTTTTGATAATATTGCAAGCACACCAATAAAACTAGCTGGATATATTAATGAAATAAATATTTTTTTACTTATTTAATAAAATAACTTTGTAATATATGCTTAGTTATTGCAATAAACAGTAGTTTATATGCCTATTTACTTTTAGTAAAGCATTAATGTATTAATAAGTGTGCATTTTAACTTTATCCATCAAATATAGCGTACGCACCACACTTTTTCTTCATTGAGACATGTAGAATTCTTCCATCATTTGCAGTGTTTTTAAATTGCATTGTTTGTCATTTCTTACCAATTTTTTAACACATTTATCTTATTTTCTGTAAACCTGCATCTGACCATGACATGTCCACACTAAATGGTAATAAGAGATGTGTTAAGGGATTATATGCAACATCCTTAATTTATTTTCTTATATGAGGAGAGATCTCCACTGAAGTATTATACTTGGAGAGTAAATGTTGCTTTAGGCATTATAAAGCTTGAAGGATCAGAATTTGTACTCTTTCAGCCAATCCCCATGACAAGGAAATTGTACTCGGTATCAGCTGCAAAAATCCTTATCGGAGCATTCCTAATTATAACACTCAACAACAACATTGTCTATTTTTCCAGCAATGTGTAGCCTTAGTCCTCATGCAACACAAATTTCTGTGCAATCAGCTTAAAAACAAAAACTATTCCAGGTTTAAAAATCTTGTTTAGACATTGCATTTCGAAACTCAGAGCAGACTATGCTTGTCTGCAGTAAATTAAAGTCTGCTTAACGTCAGTCCGAATGGTAAAGATGGCATAGAAAGGGTTGCTAGGACACCAAACAAAGTGGAACATCAGCAGCCAAGACTGAAGCAGATAAGCAGAGAACTACAGCCTTATTCAGTGGTGTGAAACAACAACCAATGAACCATAGCACTCGCTAATATGTCTAAATTACCTAAAAATGAGACCTGCAATCATCAAAACGCTACTTGCATAGGGTAAAAGCAGCAAAAAAGTCTGGATTGTGTGTCATGCCATGTCTACTAAAATTAGATGAGGACTACAGATGCACTAACAGCATGGGGCTCGGCATTGGCAGTACTCATGACGCCACAAGAGATGAGCAAAAATACTCCTGACACGATTTCAACAAAAACCCCATTAAACTCTCTTACCAAACATCTCTCTCTGTGTGCATCTTTTCTAATACTGTTTATCAGAATTATCAATTTCAAACTGAAATGGTTAAATCACAATCAAATGCTCACATTTAGATTTTCCACAAAGAAACTACAGCACTTTCCCAATGACGGAGCAAAACAGATCGGCCACAAAGCGAGACATTTTGTTCTCTCTACACACCAGCAAGCAGTCTGACAGCCCAGTCTGGACGTATACAGATTCATCACACCATTGTCTTGTAAAGAACTGATTGATTTCGCAACAAGACCGCAAAATGGAGTTGCCATAGATACTTACCTCCGTGTGCGATCCATTCTCCTCCAGATCAGCGCTGTCATAGTCAGATAACACTGCTGAAGAACAAAAATCAGCCATTTTAGCAAATCTGTGCACAATTTTGAGTTCAAACAACATGAAACTAGTAGTTCATAACAACTTAGCCTGTTAGCAAGTGAATGAAATCACATTTATTTATTTAATTGTTTAACCAGGAATGTCCCATTGAGATACAATATCTCTTCTACCAGGAAATCTTGGTCAAGACAGGCAGCATAAGAAAAAGTTCTAACAAAAAATAATAATATTAAATACATATCACAACACATGAACACACACACAATAATCAATTGTTAAACATGTTCTAAAATGACAGTCTTCAAAATGTTTTTTAAATACAGCGATAGATAGTACGGATTTTAATACGTAGTATATCTTGAAGCTCATTCCATACATATGGGGCATACTTGGAGAATGCAGATCGACCTAACTCTGTGTAAAAAATGGCATCTTAAGTAAGAGTATATCTGCTGATCTGGTACTGTAAGTATTAGAACATTTCTCCTGTGGTAATTTACCAACTAAAGCTTTAAAATTAAAACTAAAATATGTTGTTTTCTCCTTAACTGTAATGAGGTCCATTCTGTCATCTTATATAAATTACAGTGATGTGTGTATGTGTGTGCACTTGAACCAGTGACAAATCTTAAGGCACTATGATAAACAAGATCTCTTTTTTTTTTAAACATTCACATGCACACTTAAACTGTTGCATTTTATTAATCATTAGACTATAGTATATGTGGGGGTTCTTTTAAAAAGGCTGATACAATTGACATCATTTTAGACAAGCTCACAAATAAAAACAGTGGGAAAAAGAATTTAAAATAAACTCACCTTCACCAACGCCATCTTCACTTACCTAAAAAGTAAAAGAGATCAGAATGACAGAATCAGATATTCTGACAAGCAAGGACTCTTAAGAAAAAATGATGCCCATGAATTATTGATCTAACCCACATCATCCACTTGCTTATCAAAACCTACCCTGAAACATCTTGCACATCTTACTTCAGCTAAACCGCCGTTTCTGCCACAAAACTTACAAATTAACCCACTTTCATACAAGTATTATTGTTTAGTGATCAATATGTCTCTCTTCTCTTTCTAGAGATCTTACAAACGACACTAAACATTCATTTCACTAGTTTTATTTCTAAAACACACATTTCATACACAATAGCCTCTTCTATGTGCTATAAAATACTACTGAGCTAAATAAACCAAATAAAGAGTGTAGAATAAAAGGAGACATGTAAAAACTGCAGGACAGGGGGCCTCAATGATCAGGATGAAGAATCACCACGTTAGAAGATGGTCAACAAAACATCTGAGGTCAAATGAGGTCAACCTCATATTTACTGTCGAGGAGAACCACAGATCCATGAGGAACTGCAACGTTATATCCTGTAGGAATAAACGCCTGCTAACATTTTCCTCAAGAGCTAGATATAAAAACATCGCATCACATGAACCGTCTCCGTTCGCTTTACGTCTTAACCCGTTCTTAAACGACACGAACTCCGAGTTGAATCCGTGTGAACAGAACACATCGCACAGACTCGGATCGCCCCTGATTATAAAAGCAGATTTATAGCCACACACTCACACACTCCGACTCATCGTCGCTTTTGGCTGCGACGCGCTCCGCTGGCGATTCCACCGGCTCCGGTTCTCTTCCGCGGGTCTTCCGGCTAGCCGAGAAGGATCTCCCGCTCTCGGAACCCGAGGCGGACTCGTCCTCCTCTTCGCTGTCCTGAGAGGCGCGCCGTCTCCGTCGCCGCCGGTCCGCCATCTTAACTCTCAAGGAAGGGAAAGCGGATCTGCGCGGGGAATTGTGGGGGCTCGTGAGTTCGTCATATCCTCCAATTCTATGCCGCGTCAGAGGAGGGCGCGCGAGCGACTGGGTACTTCACTGAAATCTGGGTACTTCACTGAAATCATTCGTCGCTCTGTATCCGACTATGGATTTAAAAGCTGCAGTTCTCAATAAGTCACATGATACACATCACCTTTTCCCATTCATTGTTCAATATATATTTATTTATTCTGCTTTTCTGAGGTAAGTAACGTTACATGTTAACAGTTATGGTACTTTTTTACACAAATACATTCATTCATTCATTCATTTACTTTTCAGCTTAGTCCCTTTATTAATCTGGGGTTGCCACAGCGGAATGACCTGCCAACTTATCTAGCATATGTTTTACGCAGCGGATGCCCTTCCAGTTGCAACCCATCACTGGGAAACACCCATACACTCTCATTCACACACTCATACACTACGGACAATTTAGCTTATTCAATTTACCTATAATGTATCTTTGGACTATGGGGAAACCGGAGCACCCAGAGGAAACCCATGCAAACATAGGAAAAACATGCAAACTCCACAGAAATGCCAACTGACCCAGCTGAGGCTCGATCCAGCGACCTTCTTGCTGTGAGGTGATTGTGCTACCCACTGCAATACTGTGCTGCCAACACAAATACAATAAGGCAAAATTCCATTAACAACTTTTATCTACAAATACAGAACAGAACACAAATAATAATCAAATCAATAAGCAATAAATAATACAAACAAATAAAATGTAAACATAAAATAGAAACGCAAACCAAATACATTAATAATAATTCTTTTAATAAAAAAATTATAAACTAAACAGTCTTCTTCCTACTTTTGATTTTACCAACTTTAAAAATTTACAGTATAACTTTTGTTTTAAGGCTTTTGTATTTATGAATATAACATTTCTCCAAAATTAGAAAATTGTTCAATACAAATTGAATATTAACATCTTCCCCTAATAAACTAAATAAAATATAATTTTTTGTTTTTTCAAGCCTCTCTTGTAAAAAATGTACATTTGAAAATTCATGGATAAAAACAATCGCCAAATTGGTATTCAAATCAGTTTTAATATGGTCCACTTTTTGGTCCTTCACATCGCTTGCATCATAAAGGCTGCATCCAAATACTATTGGAAGCGACAGCCAACAGAGTATTCTGCTTGGTCTTAAAACTTTTTTCGACGGGTTATTTTTACTATTTATGATGGCATAGGTCAAAATTGGACTAACAACCTCATATATGTGACAAATTGTGGAGCTTTGTCAGTGAGGAGTGGTTCTTATCGCTCACCTCGCTTTCTCCAGCAAGGCTGACGACCAACATTTCTGTGCAAGGTGACATGACACTCATCAGTGAACAGGACGGTAGACCACAGGTCACATGCTCTTGTGCCCAAACATTCACAGCGGAGTCTTGTTGTCAATAGTGTCACCTGCAACGGACATCTGGCATTCATACCAAAGTGGCAATGCCATTGCGAATGGTTTGTCTGGAAACCCCAGTACCCCTCAAATCACTTAAACAGGCCTGCAGCTGTGTGGCAGTTGAATAACAATGTGTGAGTGCATAGGTCCCTAGATACTGGTCATTGTTGTCACTCTAGGGGCTCCACTCCTGGGTGTGTCATGAACTCAGCCAGTAGTTTTGTGTCTTGATGCAAGTCTGCTGATGACACTTTGAGGCACACTAAGTTTACGAGCAACATCTGATTACCTGGCACCGACCCAAAGACGCACCATGGCCACGCGGCGCTGCTCGTCAGTTAATTGGTGTTGTGTGTTCCTGGCTGTTTGAATGATGAACTTGGAATAACTTACTGACACAACCAGCTGTTTAAACCCACATAATGTTGAAATTGATGCCACATTGAAAAGGGTTGTCTTCTGGTATTGGCCACAAAATAGGGCACACAATGAGACCATTACATGGACAACACAAAATGAGATGCGTCTATCATCCTGAAAATTGCGTACCTATCCCAAAAATGTGAAAAGTGAAACAAACACTGTGTATATGACATTCACTGAGTCTCTTATTGCGAGAACTTTTTGCGAGTATTGTAATTTGTGAAAAAAAATATATTAAAAGTAAAAGTAGAATTAAAAGTATTTTTCTCCATTCTTTATTGCATAAAAAATTATAGCTTATCAAAATACCTGAAACTACTAGATTGCCTCTAAAAAGAGCAACGAGAAAGCTCTCTGAACTCACTTCACTGGCTCCCAGCTACATCCCATTACAAAACACTTTTTTGTTTTTAATGCAATTATGAAGTCACCAAGACTGCAATATAGTGCAGAGATGTCCTTATCACACACGAGCAGATCATAAGCTTGTATTTTAAATCTAGGTTCCCAGTAAATGCAACTCAACAAAAGCTTCATCCGAGCAGAGATTTGAGTTGCATTTGAGAACACAGCCAAAATACAAGAGAGGGTGCTCGCTGCAGAGCCATTTGAGCAGAGCTGAGCTCCAGCGAGGGGGAGCATGAGCTCTCGCTCTACCTCCTTTAAGCTGTTTTAATGCGTACACCAACCCCACCCCTAACCCTACCCCCAGTGACATCACTCGAAGAAGTGCAAAAAAGGTGGAGCTCAAGCTCCCCCCTTGAAATACACGCACCACTTGAAATACAATACAGTTCCTTCTGTTTTTTTTGCCCAAAATGAAACTTTAATGGTTTGCTGTATATAGCAAGACAGGTAAATTTAAATTGTGTAATTCAGCATTTAAAACAGACATGAAAGTACAACACATTTATAATAATATAACTTGTTTTTATTATTCGAAATAATTTCTTCAGCAATAAGTATCTTACACGTCTCCTTTGAACAAAGCTGTATGATACAGCAAGGCTTCTGTAATTGAAAATTTTTTCCTTTATGTGACTGAAGAAACTCAGCATGTACACTTGTAATATTTTGTGGCAGCCTTTTATGTGTTAGAGTTGAAGCTTTGGTTGTAAAAGTGAACAACTGAAGTGTTGCATTCAGCAATGTGGCCATGATCGTTTGCTTGGGAAAGCTTGTTTTTCAGACAAATCGGTTTCTCGTGGATATCACGCAGGAAATTTCAGGGAGATAAAGTTCACCCTTAATTCTGCTTCAGTAGACACAAAGTGCAATCTAGATGAGTAAAAGCAGAGAGATGAGATCTTGAGGCCAGAATTTTGCTTAAGCTCACAGGTCTGCACGAACAGTAGGCAGATTCCTTGTGACGGTTTCATTTGCGGCATCTCCGGCGAGGCGTCCGTTTCTTGGTCACCTCTGGTTGACAGCGGCTGCGTTCATCTAACCAGGGCAAGTCAAAGTCTCTGTTGAAATACAAATGAATAACATACAGTTGAAGTAAGAATTATTCTGCCCCCTTTGAATTTTTAAATATTTCCCAAATGATGTTTAACAGAGCAAGGACATTTTCACAGTATGTCAGATAATATTTTATCTTCTTGAGAAAAACGTATTTGTTTTATTTCAGCTCGAATAAAAGCAGCTTTTAATTTTTTTTATCTCTTTTAAAAAGTCAACATTATTAGCCCCTTTAAGCTATATTTTTTCAAAATTCTACAGAACAAAACATCATTATACAATAACTTGCCTAATTCCCCTAACCTGCCTAGTTAGCCTAATTAACCTAGTTAAGCCTTTAAATGTCACTTTAAGCTGTATAGAAGTGTCTTGAAAATATAGAGTAAAATATTACGTACTGTTATCATGGCAAAGATAAAATAAATGAGTTATTAGATAGGTATTAAAACTATTAGTTTAGAAATGTGCTGAAATAATCTTCTCTCCGTTAAACAGAAATTGGGAAAAAAATAAACAGGGGGCCTAATAATTCTGACTGCAACTATATATAAAACTTATGTCAAAATAAACATTAGAATTACGCAAAATTGACTAAACTTACTGTTGTTTCAGGTTGGGTAAAGGACTTCCAAAAGCCACCACAGGTAGGAAGGGTGTCACCATGATATACTCCACTGACAATAGACACAGAAACAAGCACTTGAAAAGGGGAAGACACACTTAAATACACATGGCTGGGGAATACATCTACTGACATACCATCTTCAGGTTCTGCATGGAAGGACAGCAGCTCTGGTTCACTCTCCTGAATGACTTTTCTCCTGTTCATTCTCTGCTGCAGGCGCTGAAACATCCTCTGCTCACGAATGCGCTGAATATCCCACCTAAAAATTGAGATTAGGGGATAAATAAATGTTGCTAATCTACTAGAGGTGACATTGAAACACACACACACACACACACACACACACACACACACACACACACACACACACACACACACACACACACACACACACACACACACACACACACACACACACACACACACACACACACACACACACACACACACACACACACACACACACACACACACACACACACACAAAAACATCACCTTTTCCTCCTCTTCTCATCCAGTTCAAGCTTTGAATGCCTCTTCAGAAAGACACTATCATCCAGACACTGCACAGAAGTACAAAAAGTACATTTAGACACATCAGTAAGTGTGAAAAAGCAAACACAATTGACACGCACACATGTATAAAATTACACAAATGTATACTTGATTTACATAAAAGATTTTTGCTGCTGGCAGCATTGAAACCAACGTTTGGTATTCGCATAACCCTTTAACTACCCCACCAAAAAAAACATGTTGGGATTGCATTTCTTAACTCCTAATGCCACTACTTAACACACTCAATGCATTTTTTTTCCCAAAACATCCCATAATTTCTAAAATATTAGCCTCTACCAAATGGTTGATATTTGGGTTTATGGTAAAAGTACTGGAATTAATACATATACTATGAAAAATATGAAAAGATTTTAATTAATATAAAATATTTAAATTAAAAAAAGATAATTAAAAAAAACTCAGAATAAAACATTTTATTACTAAATATTTGAATACCGTTTATCGACTGGAATGTCAGTCCGGATGCTCTTAAATAGGAATGGCTAAGTGAAAATTAAAAATGAGATTAGCGGAGCATAAAAATGCGAAACGTACCTGAAATCCACAATATCCTATGGCGCTACATTTTAAAATCAAGGTCATGGCAATCTGAGTTCATTAAAAATAGTTGGTATTGAACATATCTATAATTCTACAAGAGGAGGAGACAGGATAAAAGATTAAAACAGAGAAAGACTTTTTGGATCTATACATTTAAAGCAAGCAGATTTCCAGGTTTAAATGGTGAATTAGTCTTTTCTTATAGATGCTTTACAGATTATCATCATATATTGTTGAATATGAATGTGTTTGTATGTTCTTATGTGTACATATATATGTATTATATATGTATTATGTATCTGCACATGTATATGCGTGTTCATATGGAAGTTCGTACATGCTATGATTAAGCATATTTATCTGTACATTCCTGTTTATTAGTTCAATTTATATATTTTTTCATATTTGCAAGTGTATGTCTATGTATGTTTATATGTCCCCATCTATGCCGAATTGAAGATAACTGACCTTGTTTGTTAAATTAATTGAGTGTTGTTGAGATATTTAAATGAGTCATGTGACCATTTTACTTAAAAGAGACTCTAGACGCACCTGATCACTGTTACCCTGATGAAGGCAGATCCTTGCCGAAACGCTTAGTTTTTTTATTTAACCATGTGAATAAAGGCTTTTTAAATTTTCCACATTTTTCGAGTGCCTTGGACTGATTCCTGTTGTTGTTCCGATTAATCCCTTACACAAAGAGCACCGACCAAATATTTAGGTTACCCCTGCCTGCTTTTTGTTTGTTTGTTTTTTTTGTTTTTTTGGACTAAATTTTTTTAAAAATATGTATGTTTCAGATTCTCATTTAATGTTTATATATATATATATATATATATATATATATATATATATATATATATATATATATATATATATATATATATATATATACAATAAAACCAAAATCAAGTGTAGCAGAGCAACAGGAAGTTTTTTTTGTAAACAAACAATTCTTTGTGTGTAATCCATTATCTAAAACAGTCATCCTTTAAATGGCGTTAACAGTCATTACTCAAAACAGTAAAAACATGGTCAACTATTTGGTAGAGGGGTAGTCAAAGGGATAAGTGACCAAATTTTTGGCTATAGCAGTCCAGCCAGGTATGTTAACTATGTGGAGTTCCCAACAGAGTTTTGGTGAAAAGAGGAGAGTTGAGGTGCTCATTTTATTCTGTTAACTCTTGAAACATTACAATAAATTGCTGTCTTGGACACAGATGACCTAACGAGATGCACACCAACAATTTGTCCTCTTTTGAACTTTGATGTGTCTCATAATGTTGTGTCCATTGCAATATTTTAAGCAAAACTGTGCAATTGCTCTGCTAAATAACCTTCATGTTCTGCTCTGGTGGAATTTTGGTGGAATGTGCAATCAATAAAGACCACCAGGCTGGTCAAATTTAGCCATGAAACCTCCAACACTCCAACCCCTGTATACACGTATACATACACACTTCACGACAAATAAGATTCATTTAATTTCATCTCTTTCCATCATAGAATGCAGAACTGCATCTTGGTGGAGCCTGCAAATCTTACCTCAAGGATGTCTGATGCCTCTTTCTGCCCCAAAGGCTCTAAGATACTCTCCCGCCAGGAAGGAACTGTGCAGCGAGTAATGATAAATGTGAGCATTTTACTTGAGTCAGCATATAGGTGAAATAATTCGCCATTTACATAAACTTCACACAACCTTCGACTGTGTTCTCATGCACAGTTGAGGGGTCTCGCTGCGGTGATGGTGGTGTCTGCCAATGGGAAAGGTACATCTCTGTTGTTGTGAGATATGGCACCTCCTTTGAATGACACTGCATGTCTTCCTTCAGAGCTGGGCTCTCCTGTTGTGATGTTGGTGGTGACCTTGGCTGCCCACGTCGTGACCTACCTGTCGGTGAGTCCTGAAGTAGGAACTTCCTTTTACAGGAGGAAAAAAAAATCAGACTGCATTTATATTTATAAAATAAATGTTCATCAGTTGATTTCAGCTAAAGTTAAAGTTGACACAAAATAAATGATTCTGCCATTTACTCACCCTCATGTAAAAGAAAATATTTTGAGAAATATCTCAGTGGAATTTTTTGTCCACACAATGGAAGTGAATGTTAACCAAAACTGTTTGGCTAGCAATATTCCTTAAAATATCGCCTTTTGTGCTCTGCAGAATGAAAGAAAGTCATACAAGTTTGAAATAACACAAGGGTGAGTAAATGATCATAGAATTAACATTTTAATTGTAAATACTGCAAAGAAAAAATATCTACCCTTTGGAGCCTTTTACTCCTCTTCCGCGTTGTGTTTGCTTTGGGGTTTGAACTCGTCCCCCAGAATGCTGAACATCATCAGAGGTAGTGGTCTCTGCCTCTGGCTCCTTATGACAAGTTGTCTGAGAAGGACGGGACACTACTCCATCTTTTTTCACCATCTGTAGTCGGTGCTCCATGCGTTCAATTCGTGCCATTAGCTACAAACAGGTTAGGAAAGTTAATAAGTATTGGGTTTAATTTAACAAGAAATGAGTTACAAAATGAAAAAAGTGGAAAACTGTGAATGCATCCACTTTGACATTTATAAATGAGCTCATTATTACATTTTATTAAAAAAAAAAAAAAGATGTGAAAAAACTATTAGTATACCATCTCTTTTTCAGCTTTCAGGTCTTCAATTTCTTTGTTCTTGTTGTGCAAATGTTTCTGCTGCTGTTCAATCAATTCCAGTTGAAGCAGCAGGATCTGTCGGATACAGCTGGTTTGTGGGTCCACAAGGCCTGACCCCTTCCTCACATTCCATTGCTTCCCACTGGGACTGTCCTCTGGTGAGGAGTCCCCTACCATTGCCCCCACTTGCTCTCCTTCTCTCTGCTGATTGTTGTCATTTGATACCATTGGATCCATATTCACCAAGTGGTTGTGATTTGTCTGACAAAACAGTGATCTGCTCTTAACCGGGGAACCTTCGGCCCCCATCTGCTTGGTTGAAGGGAGTTTCAAGGCCCCCGATGGCTCCCAGTTCTTGTGACCGAGGCCCCCTGCTGACGATTGGTCAGGACAACTCAACACTTTCCGACAGCTGATCTTTGCTTTGCTTTGTACCTGATGCTTTTGAATTATACTGTTGCAGATAGAGCAGAGCACATAGGTAGCAAAGTCACAGGTTTCCTTTTTTAGGCTAGCCAAATATTCATTGATTTCTGCTGGCTTCTTAATAAGGCTGGTGTCCAGTCGGTGTCCTCCACTCTTGAAAACAATGGATCGCAATGTCATCGCAACTTGCTACAGCTAGAGAGGTTCTACCAACAGGCTGAATGTGAGTCTTTGAGGCTCCTTTTCTACAGCCATTCTGGGGAAAATAAAATGACATTTTATTCCATGCATTTTTTTTTTGCAATGAGATCTTAAATTTGCACAAAAAACAAGTTGCAACGTTTATGGGTAGAAATACAACAATTTATACATGACTAAAGTAACTTATTGATTGTGTTCTGAACACATGAGAGCACATAAGCGAATATAGAGGTAAGTTAGAAACATAACTTAATACTAAGCTGAGTTACTGTAACATCTCCTGTATTGGTCTCTGTGTTTGGTAAAGACAGCGTCCTACCACTGCTTTTTAAGTTACAGTAAAACATGACATGCACGAACTAATTTGAGCACAGTGTCCACCATTTTAGAACTACAGCAAAAACTATTACAATCATTTTAGCAGTTTCCTTAGTCTGCTTTTGAGGAACGCTGACGCCATTTTAAGTCACGCAGTTTCATATTTTAATTCAGAAGGAATAATTTCGCAACACCCGACCAACTCGTAACTCATCAATTTGCATACATAGCCTATTATATACATTTTCTGAACCCCATCCAAACTCACCTATTGCCTTTCTTGGGGCTCAGTTTCCGATTTAGTTTGAAAGTGCGCACATAGCGCACATGCGCGGTGCGTTTGTAATCTGATTGGATGCGTCCAGAACAACATTTCGTGATGCACGCGTCGGGCATGCATTATGACGTCATGCAGATGTGCGTTCAACTATTTTTCAGTCTATGGTTAAATTATTGGATGCATGCTTTCAAAAGCATTGCAAGATTGCAGTTGAAATGAGCAGGCATAAACTGAGAATTTAATTCACAGACAAATGCAACGTTTATTTATCTTGTAATAACTTTTAAGCTTCGTAAAGTAGTTCATACAGTCTTAAAATACATGAGTCAACGGTAAAAAAAAAATATACAGTACATGATTAAACACTGATGCCTTTGGTGGCTGATTTACTGCCACTGTTATGTTAGGGTTCGGACAACTGTCGTGTCATTATAGAGAAAATGTGCAAAATGTTTCTTCTTGTAAAACTATTGAACACTTATGAAGTGTATTATGAAACATACCGACACATTTCAAAACTGAAATACACAGTGGTGAACAACATATAAGTCAGTTTTTTTACTTGAATGACAACACATCTTTGCTAAATACTGGTATTTTTTTCAGTTCAGAGTGTGTAAAAACACAGCAATGCAAATTGTGACTGGTCTGAAAAAGTGAACAGACCATTTGGTGTCACTTCTGCTGTCACAGCTGGGATTGTTCTGTTGTTTGATCAGTTGCTAAAGGGGAAAAAAGAATAATCAAATAAATATACATATGTACTTCATAGGAAATGCATTAAACAGATCTGAACAGATAGCAAGACAAACCTGAAGTAGGTGTATATGTGACCTGTAGAGGCAGAAATACAATTAGGAATCTTAGGCTGCAGTGTTTATACCTTATAAATATCAGTTTATCGGTGAAACAGTGGAAGTGTTTGTGTACCTGCTCAGGCTGTTTATATTTCTTCCGCCACATAAGAAATCCAGCAAGAACTCCAAACACACACAGCAAAAGTAGCACAGAGGGAAAGATAATAACTGGATCGAGACCAGGTTCTGCTCAAACCAATGAATAGATTACAATTCATATACATGTATATTTATATGTGTACAAATAAGCTTGTCTGTTTGATATGAGATACCTATACTGATGTCAAGTTTGTTGTCCAAGCTGAGGTGATTGACAGTGCATGTGTATGTGCGTCTTTCTCTTTGCTCTTCAGCGCTGAGTTCCACACTCTTCCTCATCTGGTATGTTCCATCAGCATTTGGCAACAGTTCTCCACCCATGACCCTTTCCTCATTGACTGGCTGGCCATCTTGAAGCAGAGTCAGATTAATGTGACGTGGGTAGAAACCAGTTGCGAGGCAGGTCATCTGAATTTTTCCAGTCTTACTACAGGTGCGTTGAATCACCCTCACTCTAGGCTTTACTGGAAGGAAAAGTGAACGCCTTAAGTGATAAACATCATCAATGTTTTCCAAACCAGCAAGAAACTTAAACCAGTAGCTACCTCTTGCCATCACACGCTTCTTCTCCTTCTTTAGATATTTCCGAAGCTGGCTAATGCACAAAGGGCGGTAAAAGTGTGCATACAGCCATGCATCGTACTCCAGCTGTGCCCTACTCTTAATGACAGGCCATTTCCAGTGAGTTTGTTGGTCTCCCTGAATGTCATAGCGTCTTTCAAAACCACTCTCACCATTGAAGGCCTCTAGTGTCATCATTTGGCCGGGCTCATTTTGAAGAAGTTCACATCCAACCAGCCTCTGCTGCACATGTAGACCTTGAGAAGAAATAGAGCCTCAGATACACATATGAAAAGAAATCAGCAACCCTAGAACATTAATACAAAGCAGAACTAGCTTTGCTGACAACTTATAAATACTTAAACTCTCACAACAGTTCACTAAAACAATGTACAATTCAAATGTTAGGGTCGGTAGAGTTTTAATTATTTTAAAGAAGTATCTTATGCTTGAGAAAGCTGCATAATATTGCTATGATGTGAAATATATTTTCCATTTTAATGCTTTATAATGTAATTCAGTGACAGCTCTTCAAGCTTTTAAGAACTTGACATCTAGCTCTCTGCAACTTTCACATGGTCGCCCACTGAAGCTAAGCAGGGCTGTGTCAGTACCTGGATGGGAGGCCACATGGGAAAGCTAGGTTGCTGCAATAAGTGGTGTTAGTGAGACCAGCAGAGAGCGCTCAACCTGCACTGTGTGTGGGTACTAACGCCCCTGTAAATTGAAAGGGACTCTGTACTTCTCTGTGTGCATTGTCTTTCAGATCGGATGTTAAACCAAAGTCATTGAAAATCCCAGGATGTCCTTCGATAAAGAGTAGGGGTTTAATCCCTACCAAAATTGCCCACTGGCCTCCTAACCATTCCCATGTTATAATTGGTTTAATCACTCTGTCTCCTCTCCTCCGATCAGCTGGTGTGTGGTCTGATGCAATGTGGCTGCCGTCACATCATCCAGGTGGATGCTGCACACTTGTGGTGGATAGTCTAGATCGGATACCCAGCCAACCAGAAGTGTCATGCACACCAATATAGCAGCATTTTTTATGACGCTGTATAACAATAATTAATATTTTTACAGTATGTGATGGTTGGGTTTAGGGTTGGGGCAGGCATTTAAAAAAAACTCTTTAGTGGGTTATTTAATTAGCATAATTAATAGTGGTTACAATTACTGCTTTTACAGTACTGTTACGGTTGGGTTTAGGGTAGGGTTAGACATAAATAAAATATAATAAATGGAAAAAATAATATAAATAACTTAACTTCCGACCACAACCATATCCGATCTAGCAACATCATACTGACCTCAAACGTTTGAATGCCACTGTGTAGGTTACTTTATGTACAACATTATAATTGCATTACTGAATAATTACCTCTTGTATGGTTTAAGTAATCGATTAAGTAGTACGCTTTGGTTTTCATGCCTTCATGTATGCCTTTACAGACTGTTGATATAGTGATTTGCTCGGTTATATTAACAGATTCTTGCACCGTCGACGGGACAAAACTTCTGTCATCTGCGTTATAGTGGCCGATCACAATATCATCCAGCATTACAACTGCACTGAACTCTGGGAATTGGACTGAGATGTCTCCTGTCAAAAATGTAGCGAAGACCCAGAGCGAATGTGACCCTGTGAGAAAGTAAGTAAAGAGCATGCAATTAATAATGATTTTACTTTATCTAAAAAGAAATAAAAAGCGAAATAGAAATAGTGCTGTGAAACTTACCTGACTGAGAAAACACTGAGGCTGACAGTATGCACACTGCAAGGACTAAATACATCATGTTTTTTACGAGATATTAAAAAAGGTTAACAATTTCTCGATTCCAGCATTAAAACTAATCTATAGTATCAGTTTAGGCATAACACTAATCTTGTTTATGCTTGCCATGCAGTTATTCAGTACCGTGGTGTTACACTTCCGCTTTCTGTTCTGTATGAAGTTGTACTGTAGTTCATTCAGTAAGTTTGGTTTTAACACGCGTGTCCACTAGAGGACGCGAACACACCGAGGCAAAACTTAATGTAAAACCTTCAGAGTTTTCGCCCACAAAAATTGATATCAAGTTAGAATGCTGTTTTTGTGAAAGCTTTAATGAAACTATTTCTTATTTATTTTGGTCTTGACAATATACTCAACATTTTTTAATTTAATGTTGAAGCTTTTATTGCGTCTAAAATTTTAAAGTCATTTTCCTTCTCTTATAAACATGTGATTTTGGGTTATTGTTAAGGAAAGCTCTTTAAAAGATGCAGATTTTATTATAAACTTTATTTTATCTTATGTACATTTTACATACAAAAGTTTGCCAAAAGCAAACCTCTCCTTATGGTGCTAGAAAAAGAGATTTTTTAAGACTTTTTAAGTCTGAAAGCAAATAAAACAGTTAATATGTGCTTCTCCTTTAACATTTTTCCATAAAATGTTTGTAAATGTGCATTTCCTGTATTAAAGTGCATTTTTAGATCTAAAATGGGAAAAATGTGTGTAATATATTTATATGTAATTTGATAATTATGTGCCCTCTCCTCTGTTCTTTTTTTCTTTTATTTTTAAAAATTATTTAACTTCTTTTTTCCTTTAATCCTTTTTGTAAAGGAATGTGAAGAGATTTTGTTGTATAATAAAACGATACTTGCTTCTTGTTAATAAAGCAAAAAATAAAAATAAAAATTGAAACCTTGGAAGGTATATTAAAATATTTGTACAATGTAGTTTGATTTAGAGGGATTCATGCACAAACTAATTGTCCATCACTGCTCACATATTAAAAGATCCAGAACCAGTGATCCCAATAAACCGTTCTTTTTAGCAGGGGCGGATTTAACCAATTACAGAGGTAAGCGGCAGCTAAGAGCCACAGGAAATATGGGGGTCCCAAATAAGTAAGTAGAAGATTCTAAAAAATAATAACAGTTTTCTATCATGTTTTCTATGGTAAAGTTCTAACAAATAACATTATGTAATTATTACATCTGTGCAATAGTGTCACCCTGCCTGAATCATGGATCAGTCAAATCAGGTTTACTTTTAAAAACAAAATCCCCCCAAATCACGAAATCCACCCCTGCCTTTTAGTATCGTTGAAAACAAAAATATAGAGAGCTGTAATTATCCTTTTTCACCACTAGATATCGCACTTTTGCAATGCTATTCTCATTTACACAACTACATAAAACAACATGCATGGTTCCCAGCAGGACTCTTTGAGCTAGATTATGACTTATTATTTGTAAAATATTGTGTACATCCGTAAATTAATCATTGTAGGACATTGTTAATGTTTTACTTCTCATATAAATATGGGGGTCATATAAATAAAGGTCATATAAGTATGGGAGTGGATGAGATTTCAACAACAGCAGCTATGCCACATCCCGATAGGACTTATCAATTTTATAATGCCAAATCATCCAAAACATGCAAGTTCAAGGCCATTTATGTCCATGTGATAGACTAACTGAGACAGATCTATCATTACTATGCAATTCTGAATTTCATGTACAACGGTTAAAAAAAAAAACAGTTCTCATCTCTCTCTTCATCATCTTTCTCATATCTTTAGCACTGCAAGCCCTTGTTATAGATTCAAATTTCATGTGCTTCAGTACTTGAACAATTTTGTTTTTGTTTGTAATAAATAATTTATTTTTGTTCTATTGCTTCAGATGCCTTTCCAGTATCTCTAACTTACAATGCTGGGTTTGTTGGCTATAACGAAATCCCCTGGGATCTGTGAACTGCTTTGTGAAGACACTTGAGTCACTTCAGTGTGAAGAGGAGAGGTACATAACTATTATTAAGATAGCCAGACCAAATGCAGAACAAGAGACAACAATTATTGACCAGGTTTACTTTAAACTTAATTTAAGTTCATTGGCTGCATGCATCAACACTTTCAGTCATTTCATTCATTTTTTTTAATAATTCAGCGGCAAATTGAGAAAGTCAATTGTTCCTAACTTTTACTATGGGTCTGATTAAAGCTTGATTCCAATTGGCAGACTGTACAGATTAGTCCAATACACCTAATAATTTCAGTTATTTCACACCTTCAGAGGTCAAATTATTAAAACAAAATGCTCAGGGTGAGATGTTTAAGTAAGTTTCTAATTATTCAAAGGCTGTTCAGCATGTTATTAGGCCCACAGTAATCCACAGATTTAGCCCATCATTGGGTCTTTTTATTTACTAATGACAACATATGTAAACATATTTTTTTTATATACTGAGTTTTTTTTTTACTTAATTTTTTTATGGCAATTGTGATCACAACTGATTTGTAGTTAATCTTTAAATGTTAATTGTGTGTCTGAGTATTACTGCAAGTTGTTGGTGATAATGTTTTAGCTGTAAGGTGAGCAAACTCATGACTACAAGACTACCAAAATAGTGTTCCAGGCCCGTAACCAGCCTGTTGAAAGAGTTGGTTCTTTGTTCTCAAAAAGTGGAGCTTTGTGCAGTTGTTCTCCTTAATTTGTATTAAATTATGAGGTGCAAATACTACATTTAAGTCACATTTTAAGCACTAGTCTTTTCTGCATTAGCTTGTCGGATGGTGATCATATCCACACTTTTTGATGCAACAAAAATATTTCCAACAATTTTGTCAAAGTGCTTACCATAGTATTTTACCACAACGTGTTTATTTAGAAATGTGCATTTAAACTGCAAGTTATTACAGTTTTATAAATGATGTTATGAGATGTTGAGTTATTGAGAAGTATGAAAAATACTTTTTTAATGCAAATTTATTATCATGCATCATTAAAAAAACAATTAGGAATCTGTTAAAACTTATTAAAAACCAACTAAAAAACATTTAAAACTGTACCCTGTAGGTAAACAACAAACTGGCCAGCTCATTTCCTCAGTCAGAATTTTATAAATTTGAATAATTAAAAATTAACTGTATCTTAAAGCCTTCTTCTATCAGTATTTTTACAGTTTTTGATGGCATACTGTCAAAAATGGGACAAATGCGCTCATACAGGGGCCAAATTCAGGACTTTGTCAGTGTGGGGTGGGTTTGTCGAACCACCTGAACCCCCTGGCTACGGGCCTGACTGATCAAATGATGAGGCCGATGCATAAGCTATTTGTGCACTGCACATTGTATTTAACTTTGTAAAACAAAGACACACAAGTTACATTGAAAAGTCAGCATAATGAAAAGCTTTCAAATCCTTTTGTAACTCTTATTTCATAATGTTGCAACTCACACAGGTGGAAACAATAATGTTACATCTTAACTTACATTGTAACATTTTACTCTTCCAGTTTGAAACAGTGTGTGTGCTGCATCTAGACCATTTCAATATGGCAAAATCATTGGTCCATGAACAATTCCTGCTTGTCTTAAAACTTTTTCAGAACTGTAACAAGAGGCGATACAGTCATTTTGTTAACAAAATGTCATTTAAAAAAAAAAGTTACCATGGGAAGCTTTCTTGATTCTCATAAGCTTTGGAGATAAAAAAAATCTAAAACAAAAAATACACAAGGACCATTGTTATTGCTTACTTTCCTCAAAATGGTCTATACAGCAGACACTTCTAACTTTAATCACATTTTGAACGCATTGGCTAAAAAGATCTCGAGGACATAAACAGAAATACACACAAAGAAAGTTGCAACACTCCCCGGTGTCCCTAACTAAAACGTGTCTGTCTGAACGAGTCCACGTTTAAATAGAGCAACAACCCAATTACAGTGCTTTTGTTTCCCTCAGACCGCTGGGGTGTTTACATTAGAGGATGACCGAGACTACCCGCTTTCCACGAAAATAGAGCGCCGGGTCGACGCCCACTTTAGTGCTCCACTTCAGAGCTGAAGTCGTAACAGCACGTGGACGAGCCTGGTGACCGCGCGCATCCGCAGCAGTACATTCTGCGATGACACACCCCTATCACGCTCCTGTGCGTGCGGCGCTGTCCTGAGTGCGGGAACACTCACATGGCGCACGGGGACCCAGCGACTGCAGAGAACAGCACAACAAGGAAGCATGACTCTCGGTGCCGCATCCACAGCTTTCCGACATCGTTTATTAGGCGATTATATTTGCTTTGAAGACTGAACGGTTCCGCGAGAGCATTCCCATCGCAAAGCTTAGACGCTTGAATTAAGCAGCATGCATCACAGAAGACTATCACAATGCGTTTTTTAAGAGATTAAATGTGTTTATATTGCTAAATCAACGAGGTGCGTTGATTACAGAACTCAGCCCTATAATGATCCTCGTGAGAAAAGGATTAACTCGACCACCAGATCGCCCGAAGTGAACTGATTATTTAAGAAAATGTGATTAAAGCAGCGGCAGCGAGAATGAAAGAAGGAGCGCCCCGTTGCTTATTGAGTCACGCGGACAGTAGGTTAGCAGGCGGCTCAAGTGACCTAGATTCATAATGTTGAGGAAGTTTAGTCTTCACATTTGAAAACTTTTTTTATTTCAATTACATGGCCTTTTCTCGATTTCTACTGCTTGTTTGCCGTGGATGTCCATTTTTTAGATTCACATGAATCGTTCAGGGCGTGATCTGGGATTCATCTCCAATTATTACTAGTTTTTTTAAAATATATAATATTTTTATTATTTCAGATCTTGCATATAATACTGACACTATGCCTGTTATACTTTGCTATATTGCCGAGTCCTATAGGAGCACTCAAGCAGCCCCATGGTCACCACTTCTCATGAACCCTATCGCTATCGAGCGTCTGTTTGAAAACACTCACTCTTTTTGTTTACTTAAACGTTGAAACGTTAATAAATCCCGGTAAAAAAGACTAATATTAGCTCTGAATGAATAATTCGTGTAGCTAGCATGTTAGCAAAGACCAGCCTGCTATAACGTCGGAGTAAAATCAGAATAATGATGTGCCTCAATGTTTTACCAAGACCTTTCGATGGTCTTGGCTGTCCTGTCGCCTTTGGTGTTACCAGATGGAGAAAACCCGCAATGATG